CGGCCGCCCGCCCCCGGCCTGAGGCCGCACCCGGCTGGTCCCGCTGGGGGCAGCCCCGGTTCTGTCCACGTCGCTGCCAGTGGCCACGTGTGCTTCACAGGCGCCGGGAGCTGGCCTCGGGTTGAGCCCGTTTGCTCATCGGGCGTCTGTGATGGAAGGGGCCTGGGGTCCCCAGCAGGCTCCCTCCACACTGCGCTCCCCGGCAGCTCCGGCGGGGCAGTGCGGGCCGTGGCGAGGCCCTGCGGCTGGGCCGGTCTCCCCGGACTCCGAGGACGGTGCGGGGTGGGGGGAGAGGGCGCTTGGCTGCGTGACGACCACTCAGCTCAGCCCTGGGGGCGCAGAGGCCCCACGGAGAGGCCACACCCTGGGCACAGCGTCCGCCCACCACTGCCTGGCTGGCCCTGGGTGTCCCGGTCCGCCCTCGAGGCCCCAGGGGATCAGCACAGCAGGCCTCGCTCCCCGACGGGGTCGGGGTGCAGGCGGCTGAGTCCCGAGCAGGGATCTGGGCCGGTCCAGTGGGAGCCGCCGCGGGGGGGTCCTGTCCTCGGCCCAGGGGCTGGCTAGTGAGCTCCTGCAGGTGCTCACACCCCCGCCCTGGCCTTGAGGAGGCAGTGGGGTGCACTGGGCTCTGGCTGGGGGCTCCTTGCGCCACGCTCTGGGCGGCGGGCCGGGGTCTGGGCGAGGGCGGGGGCCGCCTGTGGGCTGAGGGCCCCTGCGCCCCGCCCCGCCCACCCCACGTGGGCCTCCAATTACTGGGACCGCGAGAGCCGGGCTTTCGTTTGGGCCCAGAGGGCAGAGGGCGGCACACCACCAGCAGCGCCCGGGAGGGTGGTGCCCGCAGAGGGTGCTGCCCGGGGCTTTCGTTTGGGCCCAGAGGGCAGAGGGCGGCACACCACCAGCAGCGCCCGGGAGGGTGGTGCCCGCAGAGGGTAGGTAGGCTGGGTGTGGCCTGCGGCTGCTCAGTCCCCCAGGGTGGTCACTGGGCCTGCCCGGCCCCGGGCTGGCCCCATCCCTGTGAGCTGGGCACTGCCGGCCACCACGGCTGGCTCGAGGGCAGACGAGGGTCAGGACGGGGCAGTGAGGAACGCCCCGCGCCGAGCCCCAGGCTGGTGCCCACGCGCAGGACAGACCTGCAGCGCCGGGCCTGCTGGCACAAG